GATTTATTTCTGAAGTCTTGTTCTCTTGGCAAATAAATAATTCCACCTGGATTTATTTATTGAAACATTTGTATTCTGCTTTTCCTCTTGATTCAAGGTGGCTTACAACAACAATAACATCCCCAACTAAAAACAAAGATAAAATAACAAGTTCCAGATCTTTCCCCCCTTGTAGGAAGTGTGATGTGTTACCTGAGCTGCTCTTCTAGATGTCCAAAGAAAATCTGGAGGTTCAAATTCATTTTTTTTAAGCATACACAAATATGTGATAATGGATAGGAAGAGAATTTAAGCATTTTCCCAGTGCATTGGCAGACTACTTATTCAGCAGATTTTTATATCCCTTCTGTAATCTGTTACGAGGTGATATGGTTTTGTTCCTTCTGTTCTGTCTCCTGCTTCTTCAGATGAGCACAGCTGTGATTTGGTTGGTACTGCAGACTGGCCCTGGGATTTTTCTTTCTGGGATTGCTTAGTTATGGTGTATGCTTCCATTCTGTTCTGATCTAGGTTAATGGGCTTTCCTTGTTGAGGTTTTGGTGCTAAAGAGGGCACTCAGGCATTTCAAAAGGGAATCTCCTAGGAAGGTTTTGGGGGTGTTGTGTATCCAAACCATTCTCATGGTGGGGGCTAGCTATTATAGCTCATGGGGTAATTACAGTCACACGTCACTGACAGGTATTGGCCTCTCCTTGTGCAGTTCACCCAATTTCTATCTGGCAGTTAGGGAAGTACAGCTCTTGAGTCTTGCCCTCTAGCCACCCAGATAAGTTGACTTAAAAGCTGTGTCCTGTTTTCATTCTCCTCTGGCATCTTGGCAGTCCATCCTTCGCACTCATAGAACAATGATAAACATGCACCTAAATGCAAATTAGCAAAGGTAAATTCATTAATCTCCTTTCTCTGGGAGAGACAGCGCCCTGTTTGTATGTTGTGCCCCTATTTGCGCTGGCTGTCACTGCCAGTTTTTATGTTTGGGCAGCAAACATGGAGAATGCCCAGCATGCACTTGATACTTGTGGACTTCTTTGCTTTGCCAGTTAAGTTGGATCCTGTTTATTTTTCGTGCTGCATCAGTGCCTGTTGAAAACATTCTGTCAGATGTACCAATAATATACTATTTGTGCCTGTGAAGTAGATGAGATGTCTCCCAGTTAGCTGTGGCTAGATGTAAATTATTTTATTATTATTTATTATTATATTTATGAATTACCCCATCCCTGCGCAGGGCTCTGGCTGATGTACAACCAGAGATAAAACAAGATAAAATTAATTAAAACATTAGTACAATATTAAATACAATCCGATGGCAAATAACCAATCCTCATTCCAACTCCCACTGCTGGCTACTTCATGGACGGGGGTGGGGGAGGGGGAAAGGAAAAATAGATGTAAACAACAGGGAACAGGAAGGGTGCCAGCCAAGGTGGAACTGTTGCTGTCCTCAACCAAAAGCCTAGTGAAACATATCTGCCTTGCAGGTCCTGTGGAATTGCATCAGATCCCGCAGGGCCCTGATGGAATTTGGCAGAGTTCCACCAGGTTGGGGCAAGGACTGAAAAAGCCCTGGCCGAGGACAGCCGGATGTCTTTAGGGCCGGGGGTCACCAGCAGATTCCTGTCTAAGGAGCACAAAGCTCTCCTGGGGACATAACAGAGGAGACAGTCCCGTAAATATGTCGGTCCTTGACTGCTCAAGGCCTTATAGGTCAATACCAAAACCTTGAACTTGACTTGGTATTTCACTGGGAGCCAGTGCAGCTGGTGCAGCACTGGATGTATATGTGCTATCTGTGACATTCCCATCAGGACTCATGCAGCCGCATTCTGAACCAGTTGGAGCTTCTGGGTCAATCTCAAGGGTAGGCCAGCGTAGAATGAGTTACAGTAGTCTAATCTGGAGGTGACCGTTGCATGGATTACCATAGCCAGATCAGGGCATGTCAAGAAAGGGGCTAGTTGCCAAGCTTGGCATAGATGGAAAAAAGCTAGCTTGGCAGTCTGAGCAACCTTGACCCTTATACTTAAGGAAGGATCCAAAATCACTCCCAAGTAATCGATGGATTCTGCCGGTGTCAAACGCACTCCATCAAGAGCTGGTAATTTGTGCCCCAGTCCTGAAGCATGCTGGCTCTATTCTGTTTACATAGGAAATGAAAGAGGACAGGGAGAGCTGGGACTATACTATCTTCAGGTCCCTATCTTTGTTCCATTTTCTATTTTTATTCTATACAAACACCCCTGGATGTTCTGTAAATGCCATGATCATGGCTAGGCACATGCTCATCCTAGTCTAGGCTGTCCTATGGTTCATATTTTTTGCCACGGTATTCATCTTAGTCCCAGAACAGGTAAATACTGTAACTTGTATATCTGTTGAACAGTGCTAGACGGTGTAGGAACTTCCTGCCTTGCCTTGGTAGTTGACATTACACACTTAACACTCAACA